CTTCCCAAAGCATCTCAACAGCTGAAGGGAGGGTGCAAAGGTGACAGAGAGCCAGGCTCTTGCCAGTGGTGCCGGTGACAGGACAAGATGCCATGGGCACAAACAGAAACACAGAAGGTTCCCTCTGAACATCAGGAAACACTTTATTACGGTGAAGGTGACCAAGCACTGGTACAAGTTTCCAAGAGAGTGTCCATCCTGGGAGAAGGTCAAAAGACAACTGGACATCTATGGTGGCTTGACCTTGGCTGGACACCAGGTGCCTGACAGGTTGCTCTATCATTCTTCCTCTTCAACAAAACCCAAAACAACAAAGTATAAGAAAAAGGACCAGTAATTTTTTCTGAAAACACACCTTCCAGGAGAAGTATTTATTCCATGTTGCCACAAAAAAAAAAAAAAAAAAGTTTTTTCTTGAGCCCCTAAAATTTGTCTCAATAGCTTTTTCATTCTGATGCATAGTTTAAAAGAGCTGGTCACTATACTACATCTGTCCCCTCCTACCTCAGCTGTGTTCAGGAGATACAAACGAGGCAGCAGGTTGATCACATCTCCATCTGATCCCTGGCTGTACATTCTAGACCTTCACAATGCAGAGTGATCTATTCATCATCATCAAACCTCTGCACTATTTTCAGAGGCTCAGTGTCAGCCTTTGCAGCAGCTGAGCCTGTGGAGAAGAAGGGAAGGAGTTTCCCTTCCCGGCTGCTGCCATCAGCAATGGTGAAAGTGTACAGAGCTGCTTTCTTACAGACATTGTAAAACAACAGCTGCTTGGCTGAGATGTCCAGGAAGATCCCAATCTTTGGCAGCTTCCCACCCACACTCAAACGGGTCCAAGGCTCTGTGAAGGCCCAATACTCTCGCCCATCTGTACACCCCATGACCCAGAAGCCATTCTTTGGAGACAGAGTCAATGTCCCTTTGCGTGTCACAGATTCTCGGGCAATACCCAAGGCCCAGCTGCTTCTCTTGCCAACATCCACTTCCCAGTAGTGTCTCCCAGATGTGTATCCTTCCTTTGCCAACACATAAAGGTGGGAATCAAATCTCTTCTCATTCCTGGGCACAGTTCTTATGGTGCCGGTATCTTTCACACTCTTCCCATTGTCAGAGATTTCCAATCTGGGGTGGGCTGTGTCAGGATCCAGGGAGACATCCACTGCAATGATCAAGTCATGCCATAAGGAGCAGAAAGGACAAGGTCTGCTTCTCTGCGGTGTTCTCTTCTGTATCCTCCACCTCTCACTAGTCCTTCCTCCACCTCCACATTTGCATGCACCAGGCAGCCTCTTGCCTCACAGGACCTCTATCTTCTCCCTTCCCATACCTCCCACATCCCTCCATTCCCATTCAGGGCTGCTGACTTAGTGACTGACCAGGCTGCATACAGCAAAGGACAGGACCTCAGCCAATGTTCCTGTGACTCCAGCCTTCTGCACCAAGGAGGAGGCTGTGGGGCTGAATGCCCTCTCCCTCCATCTTTGAATTTCTGTGGGGATGGTCTGAGGAAAAGGACTGGAAGTTGACCAGACAGCTCCTCTTTGGGCAATGCCAGGATCAAAATTGACTTTTCCAAGACTATTGAGCAAATATTGTTCAACAGCAAAAACTATTTGACAAAATAAAATTGGCCAAAGTAAATTCTCTATGATTGATAGAAACTGAAGAGGAAGCTGGTCAGATAATTGATCAGCCCTGCATCATATGAAACCCACCTGGAAATAAATTCAGACACTCACTTATAAGATATAAATACTGAAAACAAAGACACAAATCTTTCAGTATCTTTGCTTAAAACTCATGTACGGGAAGAGAGCCCATTAGGAGTGATGGTTGAGGAAGTGCAAATGTTTGGGGAGGGGCGGGGTGGGGGAGAGGCCAGGGCGGGAAACAGGGAGAGCACGCTCCCTAACCCATGGTGTATGCAGGTATAATGTATGCCAAAATAGAGGTACCCCAGCTGGAATTTCATTTGGGTGTCATGATTAACTCCTTAGCAAAGTTGGAAGATGATTTTCAAACTTTAAAGATGATTTTCAAACTTTAAATTCTCCTCAATAACTAGGACAGCACCAGTCCAGGGTGCTTCTTTCACATGGGTTAGAATGGAAGAGTGATCTTCACTGCCAGTGATGAGTAAATGGTTCTTTCCTCACTTTACCCAACTCATCAATGTAAGAAACACCTGACACTGAACCAGCAAGGTGCAATGTTGTGAACTAAGGTCTTGTAGCTCAGCTCAGATTTACAGAAGAAGAGGTTGCTCCTGTAGTGGAGAAACATCAGCTCAAGACCCTTTTCCTGAAACACCAAAAGGGCAACACCAGGAGTGGGAGCCAGGAGCTGAAGTGGCCAATGCAAGCTGGTCATCCCTGCTCCCCACAGCTAAAATGGCTCCTGCCAGACATACACAGGGTCTTTGGCAGCACACAACAAAGAGAACAGTTATCACGCAATCCTTCCTCTGAGGGGTTTGCTCTTCAACCAGCTATCTGAGCTTGTCAGATACTTTTTTGAGGACCACACTCAGACTCAGAGTACTCACATGCATCATCTCCCTTTTGCTTACCTTTGTAGCGCTGCATTTTGAAAAGCTCTGTGGGAAAAAGAAAAAAACAGGCAATAGGTGCATTTGCCAAGCATGATACTCTCCTGTGTACTAAGAAACAGCTTACGCTGCTGACCAAGGAGACTGTGTTCTCCCGTAATAACGTGCTTGTTCTGTAAGTTGGAAAAGACATCAAAAGGCCTGGTGCCATCCTCCAAAGAGAGCAAGGCCTGAGGTGACCAGAATGCTCAGTCTTTTAGCAGCAAAGATTGTAACAAGATCCAGAACATAGGTAGGAACTCTGGAGCAGTAAAAAGAAGATGCTATGCTGATGGCAAGGGAAAAGGGATAGAGAGACTATTGAAGGAGGCATCTCTGGTTTGCCGTACGGTGTGAAGAGTTCAAAGCACTTTATTGGAGCCATGTACAGGTGGGACTTTCCCCTTAGAAAAGAACAACAAGAAGCTGAACTTTTTTCCCTGCCCAGGAGGACCCAGCCCCAGAGCACACTGGAGCATGAACGGTGCAGTTCATGAGCTGTTTAATCAGGAAGGGGACACAGCCCAGGGCAAGATGGTGGTGGTATCTCAGAAGACAAACCAGCATGGATTGGGCACTCCTGAGTCAGGGGCAGGAGAACAGGGCTTGCCTAAGGGCTGAGCCGGGTGGGCAGGACGGAAGGGTGAAATCACACCTCTCCATCTTTCCTGCCAGAAGGGATGGGTTGTAGAAGAGGAGTGGCTTGGTCAAGAGGAATGTGAGTGGGTAAAGGAAAGAGATGGAGGCAAGACTTGGAGGTGGACACATTCTCCACACCTGCGAGTCACAGGGGCCCATGGTACTCACTCCCTTAAAAAAAAAGGGAGAGAAGACAGACCTTGACAACCCTCATTCAACACCTTTGTAGTGACGTGTCTCACTGCTGCAGTATGTGAGCTACTTGCCAAGAAGGGTCTCTCCAAACCCTTCTGTGTTCAGGAGGTGCAGAGGCCTCGCAAGCGGGACGGTTTGTCTGTAGATGAGCTAAATCTACAAACAGATGGAGGTCTTCTTGGCAATGGCTATGCTCACCTAATTGGCGCTCCATGTCTGCTCTCAGGATATCCAGGTGCTCTTCTGTGGACCCCTGCATGTTCTGAACAGCTGTTTCCTGTGTTTGTATTTGCTGAGAGATCTGCTGGAGGTCCTTCTCTCGAAAGGAATCCGGGGCCCTTGCTGTGCTTGCTTCAGTCATCCTTCCTGTGAAGAAAGACCGGTGCCCTGTGAGCCTTCCTGAAGGCTCGACAACTGACAGCTGCACAGAACAATGGCCTGGGATCAACCCCGCCATCTTCCCTCCCTGCATCGGGGAGCTGTCAGAGACAAGACTGTTGGTCATAAGGAAGGTGAATGGAAAGAGCAAGAGAGAGATGGAGGTAGCGCTTGGAGGTAGACACCATCACCTCTTCTCAGTGTCACTGAGAGCCCGTGGTATGCACTCCCTTCCAAGACGAGGGAAAGAAGAGGGACCCTGACCCCCTGCAGTTGACACTAGGAGATTTCTCAGGACACAGGACACGAGGTACTTGCAAAGTAAGATCTGTCCAACCCCAAGCATAACGAGGAGACACAGAATGGTAGTTCAAGGAACAGTAGAGAGATATATATGAACAAGCATTTTCCTACAGAGAGGTGAAGGCCTTCTTGTCCATGGCTGTGCTCACCAAATTGGCGATCCATGTCAGCTCTGAGGTTCTCCAGGTCCTGCTGTGTTAACCTCGACATGTTCTGAAAAGCTGTCTGCAGCATCTGTATTTGCTGAGAGATCTGCTGGAGGGCCTTCTCTCCAAAGGAATCCAGGGCCTTTGCTGTGTTTGCTTCCATCATCCTTCCTGTGAAAAAAGACCAGTGTCAGTGAGACAATGACCTTGCCTCCCCTGACCTGAGGCATTCTACTGCTTTTGGCACAAGGCCTTTCCTCTTAGAAAGGACCAAGAAGCAGCTGAACTTGTTTCACTGCCCACGAGGAGCCAGCCCCAGAGCCCACTGGGGCACCAACGGTGCTGGTCATTATGATTTTTTTCGTGGAAAAAGACACTCTCCGAGGCAAGATGGTGGTGGCAGTTCAGAAGTCACACCAGCACTCATTGGGCAGTCCTGAGGCAGGGGCAGGAGAGCAGGGCTTGCCCAAGGGCTGAGACCAAGCTTCCTCCCTCCAGCTCTAACTCTGGGCCTTTCCCCCTGCCCCAATCCTGCCCTCCCTCAGGCGTGCACCTCCCAGGCGCTAAGGGCACATGGGCTCTGGGGAAGTGGGAAGAGCCTTCCAACTCCAGTCACTTGCTTTGGACAGCTTGAGTGCTGGAGGGATGGGGAAAAAGTGCAGGCCCTGTGTGCGTTCCTGAAGGCCCTGAAGCCTTCTCAAGGGCTAGGTAGGCAGGACGGAAGGGTGAAATCACACCTCTCCATCTTTCCTGCCAACAGGGCTGGCTTGTAGAAGAGGAATGACTTGGTCATGACGAATGTGAGG